TAGATCACGTACATTTGGACGGGAGAGGAAGAGGGGTGATGAATAGAAAAGATGAGGAAGTGTGCTCCTGGTTTTTACCGTAGATATTTGGGGTAGGGAAAAGTGAAGTGCTACTCGCTTACACAGTGCTCTTATAGTGGAGATGGAGAGGAGCCCAGATGTTTACGAGCAGGATTTGGAAAAATGATAGAGGAAAATAACGAGGATATAAGTTAGGAGTTGGAGGTAAGAACTGCAGACAGCAGTAAAGAGAAAAAGACAGCACTGCACACAAAAATAAAACTAAATTAAAACGAACCCGAGTTTGTAATAAAAGCAAAAAACCAAAGGTTCCGATAGTGGAATCGATAGCTGATAGTATCGCCAGTAGAGGCTTCTCTCGTAATGAAGCTGATGCTTAGGTAAAGCTGAGAGCAAATAATTTTCGTTATAGGATATGACATGAATAAAAACAGAACAGACTGGATGCACGGGAATGAAGTTGGCCTTTGCTTCTGTGAGGTTTTGAAGGCAAAAAAGCGGAGCTGTAATTGTTATGCACAGTTGCAGGCTGCCGAAGGCAACATAATGGAATTGCGTGCAGTTTTTGTGTAAATGCAACTCAAATTTATTTGCCCTTAGCTTCATCTAAGCATAATCTTCGTAAATACGAAAACCTCTAGCTGAAGAAGTTCTTTCCCTCTAAGAGCTCCAGATATTGATTAAGTTGAAAACACCTCCATCGTCCGGATATAACCTCTAATTACGATAATTGATAAAGGCTTTTCATCCGTGTTTGTTGGGGCGTGCATTATTTATGTGGATAAAAAATACCGCTGTGATTAATTTGAAGCAAATTGATCCGGAGGATGAAGCAGCAATCGAAAAATTCATGGCGAAGCCGGATACCCCGTCACGCACGCTTTATGATATAATAAGTGAAAAAATCGAACAAAAGAAATGGGAAATCGAATTTCAGTCAGTTCATCCTCACCCCGACAATGAAGATTTTGTGGTAAGTTTTTATGCAGAATTAAGGGCAAATTTATTGGCGTGCTTTTGTTTTTGCGCTTTTTTTTTGTATTTTCTCACACCTTCACTTCCATGAACAATTATCCCGGGCATTACACTGCCTGGCAAGAGATCTGAGAAGACAGGGGGGAGGGGGGAAGGGGGTAATGGATAAAAAGCTGTTGCCTGAAAATATAAAAAATTAATTTGACAGATAGGAATTGAGCTTTAAGGATGGCAAAATCTTGCGGGAAGGCAGAGAGAAAAGGAAGCGAATACAAAATTTCAACTAAAAATTTGGGTGCGTTTTTTGAAAGGGCGTTTCAAATGTAATGCAGAAATCTGGCGATGTTGTTTTGGGCTTAGAGAACTGTCAACGGCTTAATATCGGTGAAGTAGGAATTTAGGAATACGGAATTGTCTCTTCTTGTACTAGATTTGTCGATGGCACACGTGGATTTCTGGACTATTCGGAATCAACAAGGATTTGGTGAGAAGGATCTATATTTGTTGATTTTTCTACCCTTTTCACAAAACTTTCACACGATACAGTTTATAGTTATTTTAAATTTTTGTGTGAAGTTTGTATTCTAGACGAAATTGTATAGCTGTATAGCTTTGTATAGCCGAGATTATATAGCTTTTTGCAGTTTCTTATTTAAAGTTAAGGTAGAAAATGAGGAGAAGTAAAAAGAAGAGAAGGAGGGCGAAGTGAAAAAAGGGGAAGAGGAGTATTAAAATATTTGTAGTTGGTAAGAAATGTTTAGGTCCATTAAGTCGTTTCTTAATGTTATATTGACACTCCTCCTTTAAATTCAACTCGCCGGCCTTTCGTTGTCTTCGTACGCAGTTTATTACGGACTCTTATTTACTTCTTTTTTGCATGAGATGCCATTTCTGCTTATAAAATCACTGGGGGTTTTTAGATAAAACAAATGGATGCAGCAGTTGTTGAGATGTATCGTGAGGTTGGCGCACTTTTGTCACGCTATCGCAGTGGAAAATTGCCAAAGGCCTTCAAAGTCCTTCCGAAAATGATCAACTGGGAGCAGTTGCTATAGTGAGTTTTCTAGTACGCAATTAGCTTTTTAATTTCGCAATTATTCTTTTAACAACCATTTTTGTGACATTTAAGCTACCAACAAGACTGGCACGACGGACGTAAGACTGGCACCAGAACGAAATAGCACGCAAGTTTTCCTGGAAATCCGATTTAATTATTTCTGGCAGTGTTTTTGTGTGTTTTTTGCATCTATGCAGTGCAGAAAACGAATATTGCTGAGGGATTGTCTGCATGTTTGTGTCCGTGTGTTCGTCTGTACCGATTTTTCATCTCTAGACCTACAAAAGCTACAGATCTGAAACTTTGGGAACTTAATCTGCGTGCATTTACGGCCCCCTCCTCTGTCACAGAAATGGGCGTCCTTAACTGCGTGGTACCCACGTACGAGTCCGCCAAAGTTTTTTGTGGGTAAGATGCTAACTCAGGAGTCTGAAAAGCTAGGAGACTGTAATTTTAAGGAAATGTTTCCCGACTACGTTAGTATTAATGAGTTCAAACCCAGCACCTGGGCATGCATGGTTCCTGTGTACGGACTCATGAATTTTTTTTGCGGGTAAGTTGCTAATTCGGGGACCAGGAAAGCTAGAAACTTGAAATTTTAGAGAGATGTTTCCTGACAGTCCTGGCGGCCAGTCTCAATTCTTTTAGCTGAAAGCATGTACCAGAAAACGTTAACGAAAAAAATCTGCGAGAAACTGTGCAAAAAACGCATCTTCGCACCGGCGGTTGGCACGCTGGCCATTTATTTTCTTTTCCGTTTTCTGCAAGACAAGTTTTGAGAACTGCAGCCAAACTTTAAATCCGGGTTCAGGTGACACTTTGGACAGTAGTTCGTCCCGATCCGCCCGTTTGATCCTAGACAGGGAAAGTGCGCATTGAGAGCAGATTGCTATTTAAAGGCATTTTTGGACTCGTTTTCATTTTTGCAGTCTTACAAATCCGGATAAATGGTCAGCAGCAGCAATGTATCAGGCCACTAGAATATTTGCATCAAATCTTCATGTGAGGATGTGTCAAAGGTTAGCTTCAGTTTGTGGATTTGAGTGTTTCTGCACTTCTTACTTATGGAATCCATCTAGAAAATAAATCCTGAAGAATTTGCTTTTCTCTTTTTTGCTTTTTTGCAGTTTGCTTTCTTCGATCAATCTGAAAAGTGAGCAGCTTACGCAGTCCGGCTTCGCTCATTTCCAGCTCCGTTTTGGTTACCCAAAATTTGTACAGTCCAAACGAGTAAAACAACAAGTTCTGGGCACTTTTCGAAAGGGACTGTGAAGAAATGCCATTTCTTTAAGGGGACGAGTACCGACTCCCACTTTGTTTTGATACAGATATTGTAGGTATTTTGACGAATATATTGACTGGCTTAGCGGCGCTGCACAAAATACATATGTGTTATCGTTTCATGGTCTCGTTTCTCCAGGATTCGCTGAATAAATTTTATAGTATCAGCGAATGCCTTCAATTCCCTTTATATATATGGGCGTTTTCCAGATTTTATAATTTGGTGTTGTTACCGCGACTGAGAGACGATATTGCTGAATACAAAAAGCTAAATTTTCATCTATTTCAAGCGTTGCATAAAGCAATGTACAAGCCGCAAGCTTTTTTCAAAGGAATTCTTTTGCCGCTTTGTGAGGTAAGCAACACTCTTCATGCCTCATTTATGGGAGATCAAAAGGGGCTGAGTCAGAGAAGCGTTTAATAAAATCACATTTACTACCCCTTCTCATGTTACTGGGATAAAAGAGCCAGGTTTTGGCTGTTACAGGCGCAAACAGAGCCGTATGGCTCCTGAAGCTGTTTTTTTTTTTTTTTTTTTGAATTTGTTAGGAACCGAATTGCTGATGGAGGAATAAAGGAGAGGGGGAGCTGAGTTGATGAAAAATTCATTCGTTTGAAAGGAAAAGTTAGCTGGAGCTCTGTGTGCAATGCTGATAGTAATGTTGAATTCCTCTTCAGAAAGATCGTGAAATTCAGCTAAGATGGTATGGGATTTTAGCCATACCACCTTAGCCGAATTTCACGATTTGGTGCCGAAACGCCAGATTGAAATTGCTGATTTGAACGAGATTTCTGATGCATATGCAGCAAAAAAAGCTCTCGTACATGTGCCCGGGCGCTTCTAAACACCTGATTTAAAATTGCCCCTGCCGCTTCGTCGTTTTT